CGCGAGACTGAAGACTCGGGGTCCGAATCCCGCTAGCGGGATCGTGGACGTGCATTGTTGAGGAGTCTCACAGTAGGACGAAACGGCTGTCCAGTGCTTACAGGTTTTCAATGATGGTCTAACATCAATCGGCTAATTTCAATCAATATAAATTTAAACGGAGCAAGAGTAATAAACCAGAGAATAAAATCAATTCATCAGTCTATTTCACGGTTTTTCATCAGCTATAGAAAACTTAAAACTAATAGCATCTATGGATTCACATATACCTGAGATAGCAAGGGCCTCCACACATAAATAAAAAAGTAGTTTCCATAGATATAGAGAGTTCACACAAAGTTTTCTGAACACATTCCTAGAAATCTACGATTGGAAGGGAGTAAAGTTTTTATAAGTGCGATTGCTAGCCACGTTTTAGATAGTGGACTTGAGGTAGATGTAAGTAAAACATTTAAAATAATTAACAGACAAAAAACATTAGTTTTACTCCGTTTGACAGAGGCAATCGCTATCAGGCGTTCACGTTGTGATCTATTTATACAGAAAGAAAGTGTGGTTGGCCTTTCCCTGACACGGTGATTAGGGGTTTATCCAATAGTCTTTATTAATTCTAATTTTTGATATTTTTGTGACTGTCCCCAACTTTTTATTTCATTTTCTTATAATCATATTGATGTTTATATATTTGTATAGTTTGTCATGTTGAAAGATTACCCAACCTCTAATTAATTTCATTACCGTTACATAATATCTTTTATCTTCATGGTGATTGCTAGTACCTATAACATCTATTCTACTGTACTTACTTACTTATGCCTGCTACTCCTCGTGGAAAAACATAGGCCGCCCACCAACACTCTCCATCCAATCCTGTCCTGAGCAACCCTTTCCAGTTGTTATTCATCCTTTCCATATCTGATTCTATCTCCCAACGTAATGTATTCTTTGGCCTTCCTCTTTTCCGCTTCCCTTCAGAATTCCAGGTTGGGGCTTGCCTCGTGATACAGTTTAATGATTTCCGTAATGTATGTCCTATCCACTTCCAACGTCTTTTCCTAATTTCCTCTTCAGCTGGAAGCTGGTTTGTTCTCTCCCACACTGGGTTGTTGCTGATGGTATACGGTCAATGGATGTTGATTATCTTGCGTAGACAAGTATTTATAAATACTTGCACCTTTTTGATGATGGTTGTAGTAGTTCTCCAAGTTTCAGCTCCCTACAGTAGGACTGTCTTGACGTTCGCATTGAAGATTCTGACTTTGATATTTTTTGACAGTTCTTTGGAGTTCCATATGTTCTCCAGTTGTGGGAATACTGACCCTACTTTGCCATTTTTGAGGATCATAATTGTAATAATAACAATAGTCCACAATATGGTTCATCGTTAATGTTTTAATTTAATCGATGAGTGACAAGTTTTTTTTGTATCAATCTCTGATTAACCTAACCTCCAAATACTAGTCAGTTTTTTCTTCTGCCTGAATTCTAATCGTATAGTAAAAATCCAGTGAGAGTGTTATAATATTTTCTCCCATCCACTCAACAGTTAATCTCAAAATAAACTCATAATTAGAATCTATTCTATTTATAGTTGGAATATATTCTCATTATTTCTCGTTATGATGAAACCCTGACCATTTTCTATTAAACATACCATGGGACAGTATAGTAAAATGATTGTCTGTCTCCTTCTTAACTCCGTCTGGAGCCCCTCTAGGGCTACTGCCGGTTGTAAGCCCGAATAAAGGAGGAGGGTTGGGCATAGGGTTAGCGATCCCATCTGTAGAAAACTAACTTGCTAACCAGAAAAAACTCTATCTCTTTCTAAAACTTTGTCACAAATTATGGTAATTTTTTCAAATTTCACTAATGCTATTAACTCTTGTAATTATATGAAGAATGCATTCTTATCATGTATAATGGTTAGTATGACTTTTGTGATACATTATTGATTTTCTCAAATAATTTTTACATTCCAATCTAAGTAGATCATGTATTTTGTTTTATAAATAATAAAGAAGATATATTTGGAGTTGTATCTGATTGATGCGTTTTATTTCACCTTAACTATTTCATTGAAGAAGTTCATATCAGAATAGCATTGAGTAAATTATCTAGTTTTGTGTTGATATTTTGACCAAGTATTCTGTTTAATTTAGTGATTATTGTTAATGTGTTATTTTTATGTGAAACCACATACTCTAACATTAATTCAAGCATTTATAAAGCGGAATAAGTAGCTTTTTTGCTTAAGATACACCTGTTACTGTATGTGATGCAATCAAACAATCTAAACTGTAACTTGTTAGCGAAAGAAGGATTACACGCCCATGAATCTATCATAGATCGAAATCAGGACTTCTGAACCTCTAAATAATCGCTTAACTTCCAAAACATTAGATTGGGATCTAATGGAATACATTTATGACTTTAATGAAATCTCCACAACCATCCTATGATAATTCTTGAATTTTATGTTGTAAATGGTTCTATTCCAGTCTGTATTTGTAGCCAGTGTAACCATATTTTTGTTACCTGATTCCCTGAGTAAACAATCAGACCATTGTGTATATTCACTTGAATCAGTCCATTCAATTTATAACAGTTTAATTAACTGGCTTCATAATTTCCAGTGAATTTCTTTCAGTTTGGAATAGGGATCAAGAGAAAATTTCGTAAATAAGACCTTATACAGGCTCTCTACTCGAACACAACTGGTAGAGTGAGAGCTTATGGCGAACTGTAATCAGAATCGATTACCTCAAGTGATGTTCGTCAGGGCTGTCCACTCTCTCCATTCTTGTTCAACTTTGTCGTCGACGTACTTTTAGAGATAACACTCTCTTCATCTAGATTTCCAGGGGTTGAACTTCTACCGGGAGGTTCACTTGTTGACTTAGAATATGCTGATGACATAGTTTTATTTGGCGAAGACTCTGACAAAATGCAAAATCTTCTGACTACTCTAAGCAACAATGCAAGCATGTTCGGGATGCGATTCTCTCCCTCGAAATGCAAAATGTTACTTCAGGATTGGGTTGCATTGACACCCGAACTAATCATAGGGAGTGAAGTAATTGAACGTGTCGATCGCTTCACTTATCTTGGAAGTCTCATCAGCACTCGTGGTCTGGTGTGTGACGAAATCTCAGCACGGATACAGAAGGCTCGACTAGCTTTTACCAACTTGCGTCATTTATGGCGTAGGCAAGATATCTGTCTATCAACCAAAGGACGTGTTTACTGCTCAGCAGTTCGTTCCGTCCTACTTTATGGCAGTGAAACATGGCCGGTAAGAGTAGAGGATATCCGTAGGCTACTAGTATTTGATCATAGGTGTCTTCGAAACATTGCTCGTATATCATGGGACCATCGAGTAAGTAACACAGTTGTTAGGAAACGGGTACTAGGTAAGGATGGCAAATCAATTGATGACGTAGTGAAACTTCATCATTTGAGATGGCTGGGACACGTGTTACGTATGCCCAACGACCGACTGCCTCGACATGCTATGTTCAGTGGTATAGGAGTAGGTTGGAAGCTAGGGGTGGCCAAACCAAAACATGGCACAAGTCCATGAAGTCACTGACAAGTGGACTGAGTCATGTTGGTAGGTGTAGACTACCTGGTTGGGGACCGCGAGATGATAGCAACCGATGGTTAGAGACCCTGAATGACATGGCTCAAAATCGTTTGCAATGGCGCAGGTGCATTCACTCTTTGTGTTCTCCCAAATTTTGATCTCCTTATTCCTCCTTGTCTCTTTTTTTCTCCTCTCAAATTTATTTCACTGTATTATACTCTTTAAGTAACATCTCCAAACACTAATCTTCCCGATTTCTGATTATACTCTTATTACCTCTACCACTACGGGATTTGAATCAACCACTGCATCTCTATGCTAATGTGGTGTGGCAACTCGAACTGATGTACGTACGTACGATGTTCTACGTTGTTACTGACTGACTGACTGAGACCACTTGGTTGGGGTCCACGCGACTATCGTAACCAATAGTTGAAGACTCCGGATGACATGTGTCAGAATCAACCACTGTGCGATTAAAATCACCTTATACCTTTCTCTACGAACTAATTCTTTCTTCCGGTATTATATTCTTAAATGAAATGGGTTTTTTTCATTGCCACTGAAGTAACTGCTTTTACGAATTTAGTGTTGATCTTGTTGTGCTAATGAGGTATGGCAACTTTGACCGATGCATATATGTATCTGGTCCTACGTTGTAGTTGATTGATTGATTATGGCATAAAATTATACTACACATGTTCCGATTATTGAGTTTCGAATTCGTGAACCGACCACCGTTGAAAACCTGGAAGCACTGGACGGCCGTTTTGTCCTACTGTGGGACTCCTCAGCAGTGCACATCCACAATCCCACTCGCGGAATTCGTATCCAGGGCCTTGAGTCTCGCGCGCGGACACCTAACCTCTAGACCATTGAGTCGGCATTCAACGGTGCTAATGTCTAGCCTCAACCAATGCGTGAAATCTCATGACCATCTCCCATTGTACTGAGGTAGATACCTGTCTCTATTCGACATGGATTAGCTCCATTGGGTTCGAGTCCCGCAAGCGGGATCGTCGGTGCGCACCGCTGAGGAGTCCCACAATAGGGCGAAACAGCCGTTCAGTGCTTCCAGGTTTTCGATAGTGGTCTAACATCAACCGGTTCATGATCTCAATCAAAAACTTAATAATCTCCACAACCCTATACTGATATTGAGAGCTTCAACGCTTTTATGTATCTATGAATCGGAACAATAATTCTTGAGATTATCGAATGCGAGATACTGAAAGATTATTAAAAAGATGTATAGCAAAGCATTAATATTTGATGTTTATTCAATTCGTAGTAAGTAAAGGAAACATGTTTCATTACATCTGTTAAAAATCGCCACTTTTATTTATAATCTTATGGTTCTTAGACCTAGTTTTACTTTCCATAAATTGTTTTACCGCTTTAGTTTATTATTTGACTGATGCTTATAACATTTAAAGTGGATATAATATCTTTTGTATTATTTATAGATTTTTAAACATTATAATCGCATTAATCAAGCATTATCACAATGTCGTTATTACCAATACACACAGTATATTGGCAAAAACCAGACACAGTATTTTTCAACGGAATCATCTAAAAATGTCTTGTCAGATACAGTGACAAATAAATATTGTACTGATGAAGAAATAAAATGTTCAGAGAAAAGTTCTGTATATCGTTTTGTTCCATCTAAACCTATTTGGAAACGATTCGATGTTGGGGTGCAGCATGAATTAGAAGAGGTGAATAGTGTAAGTTGTAATGCTTGATGCAGGTTGTTGCTATATAATATGATACTGGTAATTGTTTTACTAATGCATTTATGCTTCAGAATACTATTGGATAACGGATGATATGTACATGTAACGTAAAGTTACTCTGAAGAAGCGATATTACGCCACAGTTGAACTAAAGTTTATGTCAAATTGCTTTTAGATCGTTTTCTCATATTTGCAGACTCGTAATATATGCATCTGCTTATAGTCTCCTGGTATTTATATTTCTTAACCATCAGCCAATAAGTAATTGGTAGTTGAGTTATGTACCGTTAGTCCAGCTAAGATTCACTTTAAATAGATGCCTTTAACTGTCGGATATATCACTTTTGACTGGTTTAAGGTGGCTAGGTAAATGAGTCAAAAGAAGAAAACGATGTAGCAATAACCATTTGAGGTCGCTCGTTTTGGAGCAACAATCCAGGAACAAGAACACTAATAACCAAATAAGGGATTCAATTAGTGTTTGTATAAAACAACTTGAGACAAATGTTCCCAACCAAGCACAAATTGAAAATTTAAGGACAAGATGAAAGTCTGGGTACGTGATTTTCTTGATGTGGCACGGAGGTTTGTATTATAAGTATGATTGTAATAATTATTTCTCCTGGAAGACATGAAACTGCCTTTAATTGACCACCATCATGTTTGTCCAGGTGTTTGTTAGTGATCAAATCCTATCGGTCATGTTCCAATCCTACGAGAGGAATCGCCTCCCTCAAGATCTGAATATAGTGTCCGTAGTGTCGAACCACTTGAACTATTGACCATATTTCAACTTCATCGATAGGGTCCGGTCGACACTAAAAGACTAGATAAACTTGAAAATATCCACTACACAGTGACCGGTCAATCGTAATTATTCCACTCCTAAAAGAAGTCAGTTGTATTTGATCGGTGTTTTTGACGTTCGCCTAATGATATGTTCCCTAACCTTTTGTTATAACTTGTGACCTGTTTGCCCTGTTAATGTATAACGTGTTAATACCGCCAATTACAGAGAAGTGAATTATCGATCGACCAATGACGCGTAAAACAAGTACGAGCAATCTAAATTCCTTATTGGTGCTACTTTCCGCCTAGCCCCGCCAGTTGAGTTCAGAACAACAATCTCAGCCTCTGCAATATGAATAATTTATTTCAAGCATACGGGGTTTATATATCAACCAGACAGACCACATCGTACCATAAAACAGGAAACAACATTTGTACAAATGTGGCTGTGAGTAAAGGAGATAGTAATTGATAGACAGGGCATAACTCAAGAATGGTAAATCATATAATAACAGTTCGTAGGTCAAAATAAAGCTCATAATAAGAGGGACATGAATGTGAATAGTTTAGTTACATAAAAACCATGTGTGACGCATACATATTTGGTGCCTCCTGTAACAATATTTATGTGTTCAAATAAATAAATAAAAATATACATATAGTATTGGTCCATAAATGGATCCCAAAAGTTACCATTCATTATGCTTATCGGGACTTAACATCTTTGTTGTTTTCACTTAATTGTATAGTTTAGAATTTATCTGAAATACTGTAGTGGTTTGAAGTTCATTTTTTGGATTGATTTTCAACTTTCAATTCCCGAATAACATAAAATATTTACCGGATACTTAAGCTAATTCTAACTGAACATTGGTTTGTCTTTAGAATTTGTGAATTGTAATAGATTTAAATGGGTGGTACTCACACACATTTCTACTGAATTACCAGTCCAACCTGTTAGATGAAATTTATATATATATATTTAAAATTTAAATAATTCTAATGTTTCGTCCAGCAAAATTGTCTGGACTTCTTTAGGACAATAATCAGAATTATCAAATAATATTTAGTGCTTAACAATCAAATCAATACTCAATGTTTATCCAGTCATATCGACTTTATTAGACAGGATATGAATCAGTAAGATGTGACAGCAAAAGCGCTGTATATATCGGCTAGTCAGAATAGCATGAACAAAAAGGATGGTATTCAACAAGCCACCTCTTCGTAAATGATAGTCAATGAGTAATTGAACCGTATCGCTATCCAACTTATTTATTTCACACGTACTAGTTTTCTGACAAATAATTTGAATATTTCAGTACTAAAATTATGTATTTGACGATTTTGATTTTATATACACATCGACGTTTCAAAAATATTTTTGATTTGCACTTTTATTTCTACTTTCAATCAAGAAATTAATACTGAATATCAACTATTCATATTATAAACTTACGTATGCATACAAATATTCGCTTATTCATTTATTTTTACATTGTGGACTTTTCACATGTTATCTGAAGTCAACATCTGAATGTGATTTGATAAACACCAAGTACAGATTTGGTTGATAAACATTATACATTCCTTGATAATTTTGATCATTACCCTGAAGAATTCTAGATGAGTTTGATGGACGAAACTTTGGAATTATTTGGATTTTAATGACTGAGATTATTTCAAACATATATATATATATATATAAAGTTGCCATGCCGCATGTCGATTTCAGTTGTATTTCACTTTCCGAAAAGTAGATAAACATCGTGATATGATAAATATACTTTACCAATAAATTAGAATTCGTTGATTTGCAATCGGTTAACTGGATAGTCAAATACTTTTTGAAATTTATTCTATTAGATATCTGGAACAAAGGATTGTGTATCACCTGATAAACAGGATATATTTTATATTGATCACAGTACTCTTCCAAAACGAACCCAATTGGATATGAATGTAGTTAAATTACTTGAACAGATATCGCTAATAAATTTCAAAGAAGTGAGTTTTTTTGGTATGGTTTTATGTAACTGAGTTTATATCATCTGAAAGTATCAGTCTTTTGGACAGTTCTTGAAGCACTGTATTCTTCTAATATGCCAACTGTAATTACTTGAAATCAAATTGCTTTTCGTCACATGCTAACTTCAACTGGAGAAGTGTGTCATAACGTTGGATTCACTAAATCAAGTGAACTCTGACTATTTGATCGGGGAACATAAATCAACAATGATAACGTATATAAACACAAATGTAAAGTGGGAGTAAGTGGAGTCGTTTACAATATATGTGATTTATGGGGTGCCTATCTGCAATCAATAATTAACCACTTCTAGGAACTATTAATGGACTAACACTCTATATATATTCTTATTGTATAACTATCCAGTAACTAGACTGTGTATATCTATATTCCTCTTACTATAGATTTCATTTTAACCTATTGGCTATTACTATACGATTTACTGTTCTTAAGTTGTGTTCAGTCTATTGATTACGGTCTCCTACGCCCACAGCCACAATTTGGCTTGATTTTGTATAAATGTTATTTCCTATTTTATTGGTGTGATGCGGTCTATTTGGCTGGTATATAAACTAAGTATGTTTGAAATAAATTATTCGTATAGTGGAAGCTATTATTGGCGTTATGGACTCAAATGGAAATGATATGAGAACAAAGAACCAATAAGATTGCTAGGCTGCCTATACCGCTCGAACGTCATTGGCTTAGCACAGTACTAAGATTGTATGAGTCGTACTCCGATTGGCGAGTAAGTCACATGATTATTAGCCGGGTTTAAGACACAACGGGATACATCGCAATATATTGGATAGTTGTTGCAAACTTGTTTGAAACTTTTTACAAGGATAGTGTGCATATCACAACCCTACATAGACTCAAGTCTATGAACTTCAAATCTTGAGACAAATAACATATCATCATTTAATCTATTGCTTGGTAATTCTGAGTCATATTTATTCGACTTCTTTCAAGTTATAATGTCGAGATTATCTCTAATTTATATAATTCGTTTCATGTAAAAGCATAGAAATAAAGTAGATTTCGCTTGCTTACACCTCTAACCTCTTTAATTGACATATGGTTCCCCATTTAAACATTAAAAACACAAAGTTCAGCGAAGGAATCTCTTTAGAATGGATTTATTATCAAGGTGTACAGTCGTATATATATATATATATATATATATATATATATATATATATATATATATATATTGCGAAGAGATTTCGTCGCTGAACTTTGTGTTTTTAACCTTTACAGACACCATATTGGATTTGTCGTTCATATAACTTCGATTGGACCCATCATAATTTTTTGGCTATTTCAATTTAACAACACTTGAAAGAGTTTTGTTCTTTTATGAAATATTTTTCCTCTTTTGTTCATTAAGGAAAATTTGAGAACTCTTGAGGAAGCTATACGCTATGCTGATTCATTGCTAACGAAAGAAGCTTTTCATGGAACAACTAATAATCAATGTTGGAGTCTAGATAATACAGAACCGATGATTAGTTTATGTGATGAAATTAATGTTGGTTCCAATTGTTTTTTAGATGATGACGATGGTAATAATCACATTGCATATAATTGTAATCTAGCTACTGATATTATGGAACAAGTACCTGATAAATGGGAAGGTTATATTGTTGCTCCATTGAGTAATATTCCAGTAGAGCAAAATGAATCTAATCGAGTTCAAGGAGTGACGGCGTAGTTACTCGGTCAACAAAGTGAATATATTCATAATTTTGATGAAAATAGCAGAAAAGAAACAAATATACACGTATTAACACAGTGTATACCGTAATAATAAAAATCAAAATGAGAGTAACAATGTGGTTTCTTTTTCATGATCCTATGTTAATCATAGGATCGAAGCACATGATACTGACTTTAATCTGATTCTGAATACTGACAACGGATGAATACGAATTTTTAAAACTACCTTTATTCCCAGTAAACAATTTAATGGCTATCTGCACTTTGTAGCTTAATAGACAACGCCTTGGTGCCTAAAGCGACCGGTTTCTCATTTTTGTCTGAATGTTAGGCTAAGGAGCCCTAGATAGGATGAAACGCACTTGGCACGATCCAAATATCTTATCAACAACACTTGAAAATTCATTTTAAAACAAGTAATGCCTTCTTGCGTCTTAATGAGAAGTTGTGTGGTATTAAACGTACTTACAATTTTGATGATGAAAACAAGTACGCTACTGAATGCCACCCAATTTACGATCAGTTTAGGTCAGGTGGAAATGTGAAACGAATAAAATTATATAGGTGGTGCACTTATAAATAAAATTGTAAATTTCTGATAAACATTGAGGGCATAAACCCACTAATTTTACAGATGGTCAATAATATTCGAAAAAGTACCATCCTTTTGTTCTACCAATCGAGTAGTTTGTACTGAATAGTGCATCATCGCACTACCGCTTACTGGTGAATTAGTTATTTCCATTTATTCAATTCATTTAGTCGCATCTGTAAGTGTAATTTGTAATTTTATATAGGTTTATGTACTAATTTATTGAGCACAGCTAATATTGGATAAGCTATCAGGTTGTCGATTGTTTAAGCTGAATAAGCTTAAGTTTTACCTTAACATGTATGTATGAACATTGTTAAAAGCGATATCAATCTTTTGTTTAGTTTACACAAATTCTGGCGCAATTAAGCACCGGAAACTGACCCAGATAAAGAAAACGATATCAAGAAGTTAAAGGGAAAAGAATGGCAGGACCAATGATTAAATGAACAGAAATAGCATTTAAGATATAGCTTAACTAAAAATACAGCCAAGAAAGGTTTTACTCAGTTTAAAAAGTTTAACGCACTATTATGAAGGCAGTATCAGCAAATTACAGCAGGATTGCCACAGACTTCTATTTTAAGTCATATATGATCATGGCTTAAGTCACTGAGCTCCATGATCTTTACGATCGTCTTTCTAACTATGGTATTTGCCTTAACAACTGTTATATTACCGTCTGTTGAATTTCTTCGTAATTCAAATCATGGATAAGCCAAAACTCGAACCTCATGCATAACCAAAAATTCATCATATTTTAGTTGTTTCTTAGCCGTAAATTCATTTAATAATACCCATTAGTCTACCAGTTACCTTTTTTGCTATTTATACAGGCCCGGTTAAGCATACATTTAGAAATAAAGGACATTTTAATTCTAAAATCCCTTAGCAAATTATCTTATGTACTGTATAAGTACGGGTATTATGTTTCATCAAACTTCAACAGAAATCTGAGAAGAACCAGTTGGTTTCGGAAACTATCTGAAGTTGGTTACCAGAGATGCTATCAATGAATGGACAGTGATTACCAATATGATTAGCCACATATCGATGCATATTGACATTAGTCACAATATTGAGTCGCCGAAAACAATGACCTAATACAGAGTCGTTTAAAGTTTTAAGATTAAAGACGCCAGGCTCGACAAGAGTAGAGGGTAACTGCTACTACACTAACGCTTAAACAACTAATATAATGTCGTGACAGCGCTAAATATGGGTCTCTTTAGCTATATGAGATTTTTGTCTCTGAAAACATCAGTATTCCGGCACATGAGTATCCTGAACATTTCTAGCAGTTCACCAGCGAATATGAGTTTATGGACAAACCCTAAGTAGGCAGTTTATTGAGATATTTAGTAGATTCAGCCAACCACTCCATCAAACCCCCCACACAATTCCTGGACCGAATTAAGAACATTCAAATCAACAACGACGAACTGATGATATCCTTCGACGTAACAGCACTATTCACCTCGAACCAAAATTAGTGAAAGAAAGCATATCGCTGCTGCTCAACAACGACACAAATCTCACTAAATACACAAACCCTAAATCCCTCTTGTGATATATTTTGCGCTTTGAGGGTCAAGAGTATTCGTCATTAATCAGAAACGCTGATCATCGATCGACTAATTTACATTCCGAGAAGTAAATATATTTTTCAATCACGTACTCTATTCTAAGCTGTTTGGGAAATATCATCATTTATAAGGCTACAGAAAAATTAGCAAGATGGGTTAGCCTCATTCAAATGCACTCATATTATGGACTAGAATTTAAAGATAATTGTACGTTATCACTCTAATAGGATAGCTGTGAAAAAATCTAAGATGACCGCCTCGATTACATTCCTCTCTAATGTATAAATGTATAGTACAGTTCTGTTCAATAAATTGACTGCAATTCTGATACAAGGAATGCGATACGTGTGACGATACCTAATCGTTTTGAGAAAGAGTGAGATGTGATGGCCTGAACAAAATCCAACCTGCTTGTTGTATTTGGTCTAGATAATTTGTGTAGTCTGATCCAGTCAATATTTTACAAGCACCTTAAAACAAACCTGAGGCGAAACCATTTTCGTGTACATTATCTACACCCTTTCCCAAAATAGGTGCAACAATAAATCCCTTCTTTAGTGAAAGAAGACTTTCAGTATGACATGACATCCTAGATAATTCAATTTATTCTAAACCTAGGATATAGTCCTCATTCTAGAAATGAACCAGAGGTGCGTTGTGCTGTGGATTATTTTTGCGACACTTTAGAACTTGAGATTTATTGTAGAAAATATGATAATTTGGTTGAAATTTCTGAGGTAGTCTGTCAAATTGTATTCCGAAAAATTCGACTAAACGTTGCAAACCACTTCGCAGACTGTTAGCAGGCGATTTTATTTAAATTACCGATTATTCGTGAAGTTTCAAACGATAAACATGTAGTTCCAGCGAAAAAAGGTTGAAATTGAACATTGATTATAGTGGTTCACAGAAGCATATATACACTAAGTCTTAAAGTCTCCTAATAATCTGGAGGTAGACCTGAAATTGGTAATCAGCAATAATCAAGATTACTACTCACCAATCCGATGGCGCGCATTTTTTCTGCGTCTTTCAGCTTCTCGAAGTTGTACCTTTTCAAAAGAATCCTTGGTACTTTTGCTACCTTTTTCACAGTCTCCATTAGACTGAGTATCAATGAAGTTTTTAAATTCCATCAAGTCTTGCAATCCAAGTTCTATACGAGTGAGTGGACGTCTCTGCATCAATAGAGGTTTTTAGATGTGACTGAAAAAAAGTCGGAATTATGATGTACTTTATTCAGTGCCATTAACCACACACAAAAAACTGAACCAGAAAGTGTTTTAGGAACAAATCAGCAGGAGAAAAATGCCATGAGGAACATGATATTAGGAATTACTGGAAGAATGGAATGGTAAATAAACACAAAAAATAGACATCCGAAATTTAGACCGGAAAGTGTACACAAATGTGCCAACACCACAAATTATTATCCAAACCATAAATTTTTGCATTACATTCTCCAACTAAAGAAAGAATGAAAACACTTTAAATAAACAATCGATGACTTCACGGAAGGATGGTTTAGATTTTGTTTATCCACCTCGAGTTCTTCAACGAACTATAAATGATCAAACATTGAAATGACATCTTAAAATCTCCTATTTTAATTCATACATTCAAATTGTTGATCACTAACTATATGAATGGTGTGAGTGATTCACTAGGTCAGTTTGAATTTTGTAAACTGGCGTATGTCGACGCAAGAAACCATGAACCCTCATTCATTGACATAGTTGGGATGTGTCGAAAATACTAATCTACCAGTAACTTTAATGTATTGTCTTTGAGAGCATTAAAGGTGGAAATTAATAACGTTTAGATCCCGACATAACACCAAACCAAGAATTTTAATGCAAAGTGTTTTGACTTATTATAATCCTGGTTATGACCCCAAATGCCCTGGTACAACCGAGAGTGGGGAGAGTCCACTCTCCCTCTCAAAATGCTCTCACTTGACCACGCGTATATAGCCTATACCACGGAAGTCTTACTCACTGCCTTCTCGTGGCGGGGGTGTTGTTTACGAAATTGAGAGGACCAAAAGCAAATGTCCGGCGCTTTAACCGGGTTGGTGGACATGGGAAGTCCACCTACGGGAGTTGAAAAACCTTGGTTCCAAACCAATGGTGCACATGCACTCCAGTATCCCGAAGGAACAAATGGCGTATGAACCACTCGTTGGTCACCGGCTACCATGGGACTGCATCTCCTGACGTTGCTTCACAGCCTCGTGGATCAGACCTTCAGGTCGAAGGCTTTTGGTGTGGCCCCCTGAGAAAACCACCTGCTTCGGTTTGGGCACCCGGGCAGTATCACAGCCCTCACACAAATAAGATGAAATTTGTGTGGCGCATATGTATTTGGTGTCTTCTTGTACCAATATCTGTGTTAAAATAAATAAATAAAAATCATGGTTATATGTCCAGGTCACTGAGGTTAGTCAGTCGAAACGTAGATCCATGCACATACATGTTAACCCAAGTAGCCATATTATATAGACATGGTGGGTTGAGAATAATGTGATGGCGAACAGGAATCGAAATAATCATAGTAGCAACATAGTGACATGATAGCAAATTGAATAAAACTAAAACTAATACGGTTCACTTAGTTCTGATTATATTGACTCATAACTCAGGTCGTTATTGTTTTTCCGTTACATTATGAACATAAGTGAACGAAATGTTCATTGAACAAAGTAACATGGATATTGGACACAACGATAAATAAAATGGTGTTCAGTAATTTCGATTAATGAAACAAATAAAAACCTTAAGCGCAGAATATTAAATGTATTCAAAATAAAAGCACAACATATGACTTCACCCAAACGCACCTAAATGTAATACTAGTGTTCACGATAAATATAATTTCGACGAACATGAGAAAAGATGAACATTCAGAGTCAAGAGGTCTCATTCACTTGAGAACATTTTACTTCAGAAACAAGGACCTCGAGTCTTCACCCAAAAACGTCACTTACAATATAATTTTAAGAACACCAAGTTCAAGTGTCTGACTACGTACTAGATGTAAATATTGTCTGTTCGTGAGATAATTATCACAAACGAGTAGGTTTTAGTCTGATTAAAAAACCTATATATATATATAATATGATACCACCCCGAGCTCCCAATTTGGGGGAAGCCACTATAGTGAACTTTGGGGAAAATGGCATCAAAACCCCAAAATTCCCCCAGACCTGGGGAAAATCCCTAGTATTTCCCCAAAATAAAAATATATTTATGCATTGTATTTGCGGCGTTGATTTTGCCTACATTACTTTTACTATTGAAACTATAGTTTTAAATGAGCCCTTCTTACATTATGCTTTTATAGATTTTTCTTATAGATACAGTTGATGGATTGTGGATGAAACAGAAACTGCACTCATTAGTAACGTACGTTTCGAACGTCTGCTCTATCTAAAATTCAATATATTTGTGATGAGCTAGTGTTAACCTATATGTTTTCTCTAATAAGAATAGGAAGTTTATCAACCTGTATTAATCCTTGCAGTTTTTAACACTAGAGGTACAATCTCGTTTTGAAAATATGAACCAATTGTGCTGATGTTACGTGTTTTAGTAAAAAATTCCTTCAATTCACTACTAGATGAGAGAAGCGGAACTTTAGATGCTAACTATTTGATCTTGGTTTTTGAACTTCTTTGTAACGTATTCTCAAATTATCAGTCCTAGACGGAAGGAAAAGATAGAACATATTGATTCCAAAGCCATCGTTCAGTATGCGACCAACAAATATTGAAACACTCCCTAATCTACGGTAAGTTGAGATTTCTCAGCCTGTCTGCTAGAGAGACCTTTTACCTCGTCGTTGGACTATTTCCAGAATATCCGTTTCATACTTGAGATAAGGACTCGCTTCTTGAATCCTATATTTCAATTGCCGTCTCACGAAAGTCGATTATAATACTCTATATATTTTTTCGTCCAAGTACAGAAAAGACCTACTAATAGCCCATAATACTCTAAAGCCTTTGGCAATGAGTAGGAAAATTAGATTTTCCAGCGTTTTTTGACTTACACTAAGTTACGAAACGACCAATGTATCTTTGCAGCGCACTCTTAAATGGTTGATGTGTTAGCCGTCCATACATTTGAGTGAGGCTTAACCTGATCCTATATCACATCACTGGCTCCAAAGATGGATGACGAAACAGTGTGATCTCTACTCGCTAATAATGGAAGAATGTTTAGGTTGGTAATATCGTCAGTCACATGAGTGGTTACCAAGCCTAACGAAGAACAATCTTGCTTTGAACCAAAGATGTTGTTTTCGATACATGCCGTACTAATCCATGCTCCACTACCGTTATCAGGAACCCCGCTATCAAATAAGTCTATAGATCCTACCGAGGCCATTTTAATCCATTAATATCGGGTTTATTGAAGTTTCCTTATATCAAGCATCTGTTATATTCAATCCATAGCTCAGTGTGTTTTCCATAATAGTCACGAGCTAAGTGGACTGGACTACGATAAATGACCACGAGTATGAATGAACAACATCCGATAGTCGGGCACGAAAAGCTCACAGTTAATGACTTCATAAGTTCCGCTATCACGTGATGCACAAACAGGGGAGCGGATATTTATATTATTGATTATGTATAGAAGGACGCCACCTCCTGTTCAAAATCTGTGTCTATCAATTATTAGATATTGTTACTTGGATAATTCTGGAATAATGTCGAAGTCGTGGACCAACCAAGTTCCAGCCACAGCTAAAATGAGTGGCCTCAATTTGTCCACTAACGCCCCTAGTTCATAGAATTTATTTCTTAGACTACGAGCATTTGCATATAAAACTCCTGGGGAGAACGACTTATGCACACAGAAATCGGTGGCATTTGCTCCCAGGACCTGACTATACGAATAACAACTAAGCGGGGATTTTCCTCACCATTGTGTCAACGGGATTCTAGTTGTTTTCCTTTTTATTCTACTTTCAAAGTATATATCAGGTCTTACTCGGATGTTGGTACTGTCGTGACTATGGTCGCTACTTAACAAAAGATCACGTTGTAATTTGTGACTCAGAACGGGAGTTCACCAATGTATCGTAAACCATGTGTGTGCCGCTTATAACTTTATTCTTTTCACATTTTATGGAACCACTTTTCACACTCATTGCATTCCTTCCTCCGCGGGGAATAAACCATTCGGCTGTCCACACTTATAAATACTGCCAAACATTGTAGTCAGATAAGGAAAGCTTAAAATACAATGTGATCATTATATGAACAGAAGTGTCAGAACGAACAGTAAAGCCCCACAAGACCAAGTTAAGCAAAATTGGAAACCTTAACCGAAATACTTTAATTTCGAGTAAGCCGAGAATGCCTTTTGACACATCAAGGATACGGAAGCAAAGTTAGTCGCAACAAATACTAAATCACTGCCTTTTTTGAAACACTCGCGGCAGTTTCTTTGAGCCTGTTTTCGGATGTTTTCGTTTGGTTTCACATTTTCATTATTATTTAATATGGGTAATACATCCACTTAAATTCATCAGTCCTAGTGAGTTCGAGTTATTTTGAGATCGGTATGTATTCTGTATGGGTGTATGCGCTTTTAGCAGAATAGTGTGGTTGTCGAAAACTGACCAGATAATGAACACGTTTTTTCATGTACTTGAATAACGTTATTTTTAATCATTGATGCTTTACTACGTTAGAAATATAGTACTTTTTACAGTGATCATAAAGGTGTTTCAGCTACTCAGGACTTAGCAACACTGATGTCCACAACACTTTTATAATCGAGGATCCGATGCCCAGTCTTGCCAGAAATCAGGGACGAAGGAATTAGAAAATATATTTGGAAGGTCGTTGACATGTCAAGAAATGATTTGATCTGGCTAGTTGTAGAGAGATATTTGTGGGACGGCATAACCCATAGCAACTTGGCACGGATGCTCGCCTGCAACCAGAATGCGGCCAGTAAATCTGATGAAATCGACTTCAATGTCGAAGGTACCTTAAGAATCAGGAAGTTGTGACTTTGGGCACAAGCACACGATCGTAGTTGACACCCGGTAGACATTTCGTGCCTCTAGGTAACCCTCTTGCTATTGATGGAAGAAACCAGACAAGTGGCGAACAGGTCCTTATTTAGATCCTCGCGCAGTCACAGTGGAGTGTAGGATTGTTTGTCCAGACAAACAAAGACTCTCAACATTCAATATAAGATAATAGGCAATATAGTGCCTATACAAAATAAGGAAGTGAATGAATGCTTGGACAACCTGTTGGTAGCGGTGATTATAATATTTGCAAATGAACTTATGTGTCACCAGACAAATATTCTCGCTACATTATATTTGACTAAACATCGTGTGATTGTTTAACCCATAAGATTACACATAGATCTCATATGAATGAGCACCCTGAATGTGGATATTAGGAGTTTCTTCCACTTAAGGACAACTGAGCGGCAGTTATATCTTGCTGACAGAATAATATATATAGTATAGAAGGGGATGTGGTACATATGAAAATTAAGCCTAATATCTAAGTCATGCCGCCCCGATAATTTTCCTGCATCGACCGCAGTTGATTTTCACCGTTTTGCGTCAAACATTCGACATGCAGTGGTGAGTCTTTTGAAGCAGGGGACAGTCAGCCTGAAGGACTGTATCAATGGAGTTAGTCATTATCTCACTGTTACTTTAGTTTTTAAGTGCGTCAAACCGAGCTCAACAAACTCAGAAATAGCTTGCTATATATCTGCTAAGGCGCTCTCAAGGAGAGTCAAATTTTATCAGAAAGGCTAGGATCTTTTCTGGAAATATAGCCACCCTCATTGTAGTAAGCAATTTCCTACAGGTTTAATTCTGAGCTATTCCCTAGACCGTCGAATACAGAGTCTTGGTTTGGCCAAAGTCAGAACAAGCAAACTATTTGGCTAGATAAACTTTGTGTGTTTCTAAAACATAAATTAACGTCGTTGGTGTACAAACAAACAGTACGGTCTACTAATACAGGCAAAAAGAGAGACAAATAACATACCGAACAGTAGCCAGAGGATAAGAAAAATGAGTCAACAAGCAAATATTGTCTTACAATGAACACGAAACTGTGATTGGTTAATAAAGAGATACAGTCGTACAAGGTCAGAGGGAGTTAATGTGGTGGTGGGCGTTTCCCTTTATTATTGATGGGTTCTTCTATCGATCACATTTTACACTCATTTTTTATCAATTTGATTTTTTGCATAACCTTTGTTCTCCAATTTGTTGCCACGTTTTTTAAGTTCACTAAGTTGCTACATGATTATAAGGTCGCACTCTGTTACCACAGCAAAAATTTTTCGACCAATTTCGTTTAAGTTACTTGTTCTTCTACAAATGTCAAGTCACCTGTGATCCCGTCATTTTCCTGTCTTAGCCGTCGAGTTTTGATGTGCTGAGCATAATTGACTGCTGTTAGTTCCGAAGAGAATCTATCGTATCAATGAAGCTCAATCGTTTTCGTTCCTAAATCCACAACATCGTGGGTCGTACTGAACCCCAATAACAAGACATAACAACCTGTACTCGATGGGTTCATAATTCATATGCTTAACGCTAGTAATGGATATCTTTTTCTGGAATTATTCTCCCACATACCTAACTGCCTCCTCCGCTTCTGAAGGCTGTAAAAGTCACAGTTTCAAATTTTATATAAAGTATTTTAAATAAAAAGCTTTCGATAAAACGCTTTTTGTCCTAAAATGCAATTGATTTGAGGGTCAAAACACTTCGCTAACCAGTTGATGAAAGCCCATCCACTGGTAGTAATGTGTCGAAAACCAAACGCAACACAGGAAGGTGATACATGGGGTTGTAGAATTATGGTCTACTATGATATTAGTACTGCTCTAATAATAGACCTAATCCTAAAATTGTAGATTTGTCATAATATAACTGCCTAATCTATAAGATCTTACGTGGAAGTCACACCATCGACTACACGAACTCACTGTATGGTATCAATTACCAATACATGATGTAGAACAAGGTTAGGCTAGAGAAAGAACAATATATTTAATATGAATAGGAGATATAAGATAACATCCAGCAGGGACCACGCCTGCATGGCCGAGCCATGCCACTCGATCAACTCAGTCCATTCAATTCATTCTCTGCGCCTTCTCCATTGTTAGGTATTTCCCCGAGTTAAATATTGAATATCTATTTTCTGAGTAGTCTCGTGTTCACAGCTTTGTGGATTGTGTGGCTATTGTCCAATGCCACTACAGGGTCACGTAACGTTAAGTTTTTTTCTAAAATATGCTAGATGTTTTAACTTACGCACAATGGAAAGCCAAGCTAGATGGCTTAGTGCATTTCCACGGATTTCATGTGATACTTTGATCATAGCTAATATCATTAGAAATGATCATTTTCATGTCTTTAGGGAGGTCCACTGTTTGGCTGGGCTGTCACTAATTTGTAGTGCTATTAAAAATATAAATTTGCCGTTTAGAAAATCATAGTACCTAGTAAGCTAGAAAGACTGTCTATCAGTGAGTCATGGTGA